GGTGCCAGTAGGGGACAAGCTGTCCCTTCTTCCAAGAGCAGCTTCCAGGGTAGTACACATGGTTTTAGGCCTGTATCTCATGAAGAAATACTTTATTCCAGAAACATTCAGTAAAACGCACCTCTCCCTTCATTGTGTTCAACAATGTCTCAGGAACAGTAATGCCTCAAGTAAAGATAAACACTTTTGGAGGCATTTTTTAATTGTTAAGTGGGTTTCCCTTCTCCCATCCACTCTAAGATTAAAATGGAAGTGGAAATCAATATATAATTGACACCAGTTTTTTAACCTGAGCACTGAAAAGGACAAGCAAATGAAAGTACATATGGGCAGGATAAGGGGTCTGTTCCCTATTTGTACTCACCACTGCACAGTGACTCTCAGATCAGACTGAGAAATAGTGCTGTCCACATATAATGTTGCACATGAGCTGTACTTTTCCCTATGGTTATCAGGAGACACCTGAAGGAAAAGGGGAGTAAAAGAAAATATCACAGTAAGTTAAACCTATAAAAGTGCATTTTTCCTTGGTTAAAATGTCAAACAATTAAGCATTACAATTGTCCTCATACTGTACTAGAGGCCCGGTGCATGAAATTCGTGCATGGGAGGGGGGGTCCCCTCAGCCCAGCCTGCACACTCTCAATCCTGGACCCCTTGGGGGATGTCCAACTGCCAGTTTAGGCCTGATCCCGGGGGTCGGGCCTAAACTGGCAGTCGGACTTCCCTCTCACAATCTAGGACCACTGGCTCCTAACTGCTCACCTGCCTACCTGCCTGGTCACCCCTTCCTGCCCCCTTCTGCCAGCCTGGTCGCCCCCAACTGCCCCCCCCCCAGCTGGCCTGGTCGCCCCACACAGCCTGCTATTCAGTCATTTGGTCGTCCCTCACTAACCTCCCTGCTGGCCTTATCACCCCATGCAGCCTGCTGTTCAGTCGCTATGTGAGGGCATCCTGACCAATTTGCATATTACCCTTTTATTAGTATAGATAGATGAACTGCTTTGGTGCAATACCATGTCCAGTTCTATGGTAAACCCATTACATGCTTTAACTTCCAACAATGAGAATTGACGAAGAGGTCATAAAATGCTGCCCTTGACATACTACCTATAATCCAACTTGGCAAACACCTATGATAAATTCCCTTTATAATAATGTAAAACATTTAAAATAAGATTTGAGTGTTTTTCTTAAGAAATGAAAACTGCCAGGATTTCTATTTCTACTATTTATTTTCTACATTAAGAAATACTGCCTTCTATAATATTGAAGCAAGAGCATTTACATGAAAGCCAATAACAAATGTTAGTTCAGGAGACAGTGTGACAAAATACATGTATCTGAGGCAGAGGTGTGTGTGTGCTGGGGCTGGCCTGCAGCTCACAAGTTAGGGGACCAGAGGTCTCTCTGGGCCTCAGTTTCCTTACCTAGAGGATTAAAGAGTATTGTTTTAAGATTCTCTCACATCCAAAAACAGATCAAACACCTCTGAGAATTTAACTCTCCCTTCATGTTGAAATAAGACTATCATTACATTCCTCCAAAGAGAACCTCAGAGAATGCTTCCCATGATATTAAGAATTCTATTCCCTAAGCTACATGACACTTATCGGGACCCTGCCTCACTCAGATGCTCTCTTTGATGACCAGGCCCTTTGCTTCCTCCTTTTCCCAGCAAGGTTAACCCCGCTTCCCATCTACCTCCAGGACACCTCTGCCAGCAGCCGCACGGCACAACTGCTCCCTTTCTCTACTCTCTCACACCTGAGTTACTCCTTGCTACATGGTATCAACTGCTTCCAGGGCATCCCCCTCATAAAAAGTGAGCTTCTCTAGTGAAGACAGGACTTCCCCTCCTCTTCTACCTCCAATTGCTGAGCACAGAATCTGGGGCAAATTAGGAGTGTGACAAGTGTTTGACCAATTATCTAAAATCAATAGCAACTGGAAGGCAAATCCTACTACAGATGCAAATTAGGATTTACCTGCAGTGGTGTTACAGAGATGACAATGACTTTTTGAGATATGCTAGAGAATAAATTATTTTTAAAACACTTTAGAAATATTTATGTCTTTTAAAAGTTTCCATTGATTTGTAAAGAGCCCTAGAATATAACAATAATGAAATATGGAAATAACCTAACCTATGTTAGGAAAATAATCTTAGAGTAAAACCAATAACTAATCCTAGTCACTGTAGGGAGTTGAAAGTAATTGTAGTATCTTTAATATTCGTTTTGCTAGTGGAAAAAATGGCACCAGATATTTGACCTTGGTCCTTGAGTTTGGCTGAGAAAGAATTTAGAGCCAAGAACTTAAATTATAAGAGAAAGTATATTTAGAAAGTCACAGAGGTAGAACTGAGCCAGTGTTGCTGCGTGGGCTCAACACACAAGTTACAGAGGCAGAAGAAGGGCCCCTGGAACTTAGAAGAAAGAAAGGAAGAATATACACGCCCGGGGGAACAAGAGGGGGAAGGCATGGGCATGCTCCAGAGTGAGAGCACCTGAGAAGAGGGCGGGGAAAACTACAGGCATGCTCAAGGGAGAGAGAGCACAGGTGGTGCTGGGTTCATCTTAAGGGCTTTTACCTAAAGGCAGAAATTTTAGGGACGGTCTTAGGGGACCTAAGCTGGGCCTGAAGCTGAAACCAACTGAGGCCTAGATATTACCTCTACTTTGACCACAACTCTGTCTCTGAGCTCAGCAGACCTGAGGCTTTGTTACTAAGATTGTTAGAATCAGGCCCGAACCTCTTTGTCCTCAGGGCTTAATGCTATGTGAGTCAGGATGCAAGGGCTTGCATGGAAATTGTATAAGGCTATTCTCTGGGCTCCTTGTTCCTCCTTTAAGGGTGTCCATATGCTGGGGGAGGAAAGGTCAGGGGACCAGCGATATCAAAGTTCAGGGGGGTGTAAACTGCATGACCCGTGATATGCTAAGAAAGGAAAGGTCACCCTTGGGCGAGGTCCCACCCTACAATACTTGGTTTCCCAGTTTTGCACATTGCCAGGCACCAACAGCTTTCTACTTTGGAACATACTTGGCCTATCATTCCTACTCTGTCCATGTCTGCCGAATTGACTACTGCATCAGTTTTGTTGTGTTATTATGAACTAATTCAGATAGGCCTTCCTTCCTTATCCTATATAATAAAAGGCAAATATGCAAATCAACTGAACAGAGGAATGACCAGTCACTATGACGTGCACTGACCACCAGGGGGCAGGCACTCAATGCAGGAGCTGCCCCGGGTGGTCAGTGTGCTGCCACAGGGGGAGTGCCGCTCAGCCAGAAGCCGGGCTCACGGCTGGCAAGCACAGCAGTGGTGGCAGGAGCCTCTCCTGTCACCAGAGCAGCGCTTAGGATGTCCAACTGCCTAAGCTTTCAGTTAAATATCCCCCGAGGGCTCCCAGACTGTGAGAAAGCACAGGCCAAGCTAAAGTACCCCTCCCCGAGTGCATGAATTTCGTGCACTGGGCCCCTAGTATTAATATAAAATAGCTTTCATCATGCTGTCATACTTTCCCATCAATATCCCCCTCACATACACAAAAGACACGACAGGGTGAAAATCTAGTTGATATCTGTTAAAATACAGAGCATTAAAAAACTGCCACTACCCAATAATCATAAGTATATTTATATTATACAGTGGGGCCTTGACTTTGAGTGTCCCAACTAACAAGTTTTTTGAGATACCAGCTGTCTCTCCGCCAATTTTTTGCATTGAGTTAATAGAGTAATTTGAGTTAACGAGCTCCTTAACGAGCTCAGTCTCTGAACGAATTAGACTCGTAAGTCAAGGCCCCACTGTATAAAATACCATTTTGTCTGTTTCAGATGTTTTACTTCAAAGCCACTTATTCCTCATTAACCAGAAGTTACAGATGGCAAATATGAAAGGAATCACTATTTGGAGAAATAAATTCTCTGTCAAGCTAGAAATATTTTAACTATAACTAAAACTTGGATAGGGATCTTTAGCCATGCATTTAACATATAATTTACCTTTAGGATTTAAAAAAAAACAAATACAGCACAAAATATGAAAAGTCATTCAAATAATTTTATTCTAAATGGAAGGTTTACTACTATACAGGTGTAGTATGGCATATAATGCACCAAAATAAAGTCAATTATGACCAGAAACCTATATAGAGGGGAGTAAAAAGAATAGGACACAATGCACAAAATATAGACTAATTGGTAAAACTTTGGGTGATCTTTGCTCCCATTTTCCTCTATTTAAATTTTTTTCTATTATAAATGTACATTGTTTTCTATTTGAAAATAGTGCTAAAACATTGAAAATTTTTAATCAGACATGGGCTCACAGGTCTATAGGGGTTCATTTAGTAAAGCAACAATTTACAGTCTACTGGTAGATTCAACCAAAGGAATACTGAGCACTTCCCCATCAGTCCAAGTCTACTGCCAACTATTCAAACTTTCCAGTACCAAGTATCTAGGACCCACTAGGGTGGCAGATTAACCCTCCTAGCAACGCCTGGATATATTGGCTGCCAGAAGGTTACTTTCCCCTCATCTTGCTTGAAAATTTAAAATAATTGTTCTTTATGGTTAAAACCTTACTATTGCTTACAACCTCAATAAACTACACAGAAAAACATAGAGATAAAAAATGAAAATACTAAAAATAAAAATAAAAATTCAAAAAGCCAAAATGCTATCCACAACAGAGTGTTCATAGGTATTTCAGTTGGTCACTAAAATACACAGAGACAAAAATCCTACTCTATCTTCATTCACTCTGCACAATGGCAGAATAGATGGACTTTTACAAGCTTTTCAAGAAAGGGAAGGGGTTCCTCAAAAAAGATCAATAGCGGAGATCCAAGATGGCTGCCCACGGGACTGCAGGCTGCTGGATAGTGTGATAGTGAGAGAATGAAAGGAGAGTGCATGGACATGCGGGAGCGTCAGTATTTGTGAGTGAGGGACACCTATACTCCAAGGGACTGTTGGGGACTGGCAGATCGCGCCACCTCCCAGCGCCCCCCCCCCCCCCCCCCCACCCCCAACCAGGTAACCTCTACTGCGGCTGAAATCTCTCCCAGAGCGGCCAGCTCTGCCACAGAGGCCACCCATCTTGAAGGGGAGACCGCTGTGGAGACTGTGATCGGAACCCCAGCCTGACCTTCAACCGGGGAGATCTCCGATGCCTCCCGGGACCTTACAACCACGGTGCCCAGGGACCAGTTACCTCAACTATGAATCCACGAACGCCAGAACTCCAACCTCCCTGACCACAGGCACCTGGGAGGTCTGCTCAGGGGAAAACAAACGTGGATGGGCCCTGTGCCTTCTCACAGAGCAGAAGGAACAGCTGAATCTAAGTGCACCCACCCACAACTGGCGAATTAAACACAGCTGGCATTGCCTAAAGAAAGGTGAGATTTGGGATCCAGGCTAGAGGGAGAAACGCGCACAGTGAGA